GATGGATGGATGATGGATGATGGATGGATGGATGGGTGACAAGGGAAGGGCCCAGCTTTGTTTGTTTTCCTCCTCAAATTCCGGGCCAAGGGGGCCATGCTGGTGCCATTTGCTGGGTTCCTGGGCACTCTGGCACTCTGGTGGCACGGGGGGGGCTCAGTCCTTGTGTCTCCTTTTGCCTTGTTGTGCTGGCCAAGCTCCTTTGTTTATACAGCCCCCGTTCGACCTTTTAAATTGCTGTTAATGTTTTAGCGTAACGAATTAGTCTCTCATCACGAATCAGGACTCGAAATAAAAAAAAAAAGGGGGGGAAAAAAAAAACCCTCCAAGGCCAACTTCCTGAAATTGGGGTCATTCTCATTTGCAAGGCAGAGAATCTGAGAACCTTAATGCAAGGAAATTTATTCAAAGGCAGAGCCCCGGCGTGATTAGGCCCTTTGTAATTATAGCTCGGAGAGATTCCACTCCAGCCTCCTGCCTCCCTCATGGATTAGCAAGTGAGTCGGAAAAATACACAGGATTTAATTAGAGGCAAATTAAAATTGGTAATGAAATAGGGGCAGTAGCAAATGGCAGGGAGTTGGAAGGGGAAAAGGGAGCTGGTATCTCTCGGGGCTGCGCTGTCTGCCTACGTGTGTGTCTCTTTATTTTACATTTAGAAATGTAAAGATGGTCGATGTAAAGAAGAAAGGGAGGGAAAGGACCAAAACGGGAGGGGAGGGCTGAGGGGAAAGAAAAAGAAAGGGAATGAGGAGCTGGCTCTGCTGAGCATCACCAGAGCTGCAGTGGAGCTCGTGTCCCTTGTCCCACCCACCCTGTCCCCACCTTCCTCAGCATCAGGCCAGGCTCCTCCCAGTGGGGTCACGCCCCATGTGCAGTTTGGGATCATGTCCCATGTGCATTTTTGGATCGTGTCCCATGTGCATTTTTGGATCGTGTTCCATGTGCAGTTTGGGATCATGTTCCATGTGGAATTCGGGGTCCTGTCCTGTGCAGTTTGGGCTTTGGGCAGCGTTTGGGTGGCAGGACACCCACAGGAGCTGTGGGGCTGGGCAGGGAGGAGGATGGTGAGGAGGAGGGGGAGGGTCTGGGCAGTTTGGGGTGGCCCTGAGCCCGTGTCCCCGTGTCCCCAGAACGCCGTCCGCCACAACCTGAGCCTGCACAAGTGCTTTGTGCGCGTGGAGAACGTCAAGGGCGCCGTGTGGACCGTGGACGAGCACGAGTACCAAAAGCGAAGGCCACCAAAGATGACAGGGTGGGTGCTCCTTCCCCCTGGGACACAGCCCCAGAGCTGCCACCACCCCTGTCCCCAGGCTGGGGATGCTCAGCCCTGCATCTCTCTGCTCTCTCTCTTCCTGCAGGAGTCCCACCTTAGTCAAAAATATGATTTCAGGACTCGGTTATGGAGCACTTAATGCAAGTTACCAGGTAAGGAAGGAGCCAGCCCTGGCCCTGATGGGGACACGGGGACACCAAACCCTCCACAATCCTGTTCTCCACTGGGGTCTTGATTCTCATTGGGAAATGAGGGACGGGTGGGGTGGGTTCAAGGTGAAAGAGGGGAAATTTCAGTTGGCTACATGGAGGAGATGATTCCCTGTGAGGGTGATTCCCTGGCACAAACTCCCAGAGAAGCCGTGGCCGCTCTGTCCCTGCAAGTGCCCAAGGACTGGGATCATGAAAAGTGTCCCTGCCCGTGCCAGGGGTGGGATGAGATGTGACTTAAGGACCTTCCAACGCCAATCCCACGTCCCTCCGTGCTCCCTGTCACAGGCTGCGCTGGCAGAGAGCAGCTTCCCCCTGCTCAACAGCCCCACCATGATCAACACCAGCTCGGCCAGTGCCATGCTGCACGTGGGCCACGACGACGTCAGCAGCACCGTGGAGCAGGTCAACAGCAACGGCAGCAACAGCCCCCGCCTGTCCCCACAGCAGTACAGGTCAGCCTGGCTGGGCACAGCTGGCACGGGGGTGCTCGGGGAGGGGGGCACAGTGGGCACCGGGAGCTGGGTGGGGTCCTGTCAGCAGGGTGAGGGGGTTTGGGTGATGGGGTGAGGGGGGTTTGGGCTCCTGTCACCAGGGTGAGAGGGTTTGGGGTCTTGTCACTAGGATGAGAGGATTTGGGCTCCTGTCCTCAGGGTGAGGGGATTTGGGCTCCTGTCACCAGGGTGAGGGGGGTTTGGGCTCCTGTCACCAGAGTGAGGGGGGTTTAGGGTGCTGTCACCAGGGTGAGAGGGGTTTGGGTTCCTATCCTCAGGATGAGGGGGGTTTGGGGTCCTGTCCTTAGGGTGAGGGGGCTTTGGGGTCCTGTTACCAGGGTGAGGGAGGTTTGGGTGATAGGGTGATGGGGGTTTGGGGTCCTGTCCCCAAAGTGAGGGGGGATTTGGGCTCCTGTCCCCAAGGTGAGGGTGTTTGGGCTCCTGTCACCAGGGTGAGAGAGTTTGGGTTCCTGTCAGCAGGGTGATGGAGGTTTAGGTTCCTGTCCTCAGGGTGAGAGGGTTTGGGGTCCTGTCACCAGGTTGCCAGGGGGTTTTGGCTCCTATCCCTAGGGTGAGGGGTGTTTTGGACCAAAAAATTCAGGGAGTTTTGGGTGGTGGGACCCACTCCCCAAAGCTGAAGTCTCCCCCTCCCCACATCCACCAGGAGCTGCTTGTGGGCAGCTCTCAGAGCACGGGGGGTTTTGGTTGCTGTTCCCAGGGTGAGGGATATTCTGGAACAAAAAACTCAGGGAGTTTTGAGTGTTGGGATCAGCTCCCCTAGCCTGAAGTCTCCCCCTCTCCACATCCACCAGGAGCTGGTTGTGAGCTCCTGTTCCCAGCATGAGGGGGGAGTTCTGGTTCTCAGAGCTAGAAGGGTTTTACCCCCCCCATCCCCAGGGTGAGGGATGTTCTGGACCAGAAACTCAGAGAGGTTTTGGGTGGTGGGATCCAACTCCCCGAGGCTGAAGGCTCCCCTTGCCCACATCCACCAGGAGCTGCTTGTGGGCAGCTCTCGGAGCAAGGCGGGGTTTTAGTTCTGTTCTCAGGCTGAGGGATGTTCTGGATCAGATAATTTGGGGAGTTTTGGCGTGGTGGGACCCAAGTCCCCGAGGCTGAAGGCTCCCCTTGCCCGCAGCCACCCCGTGCACGTGAAGGAGGAGCCAGCCGAGGCGGAGGACGACAGCAGGCCCGTGTCACTGATGGCCACCACCAACCAGAATGTGACGATCCCCGACGACAGGGACCTGGAGGAGGAGCTGCCGGTGGAAGACTTGTCCTAAGGACTCCTTCCTCCTCCCCCACCGAGGGGAAAACCCTTCCCACCCTCCTGGACGGAGACCAAGCGACGCTCCCACCTCCCCAAGGTGACCTTGGCGTTCTCCTGGTTCTTTCAAGGCACTTCCACAAAGCAAAAGGTTTTCCTTGGGACAATGACAATGACAACGGCACCGACCTGTTGCTGCTGGCGTGTCCCTCACGCTGCCACTGCCCGGGGACGGACTGGCCCCGCCACGACACGAGAAGCAAAACCCCAAGAGCTGGACTTTTCCTGCCCTCCTCCCTTGGTTAGTGACTGGTGCACGAGGATGGCAGGTTGGTTGTTGCTGTCTGAAATGGTCCCTCCTGCAGGGGAGGCGCCTCTGTCCCCTCTTCCCCCCGCCGTGCCCGAGCCCCGGGGAGCCGTGGCAGGACCCTGCTGTCACCTCTGCGTCCCCGCTGGGTTTTGCACTACAGAGGGATCGTGGACGCTGCCCTCGTGCTGCCTGCACGCGGCTTCGGGGGAAGGAACAGCAGGAACGGGGCCGAGGGCTCTGCTGGATGTGGGGTTTGTCACGGAGCTGGGATGGACACGAAGCAGCGCGGCGGGGGGACGGTGTCCCTTTGTCACCTCTGCCCGGCGAGCAGAGCGAACTCCCAGCTTGCCCTGAGCCCCAGCTGGTGGGGGACTGCTGGTCCCAGCAGTGCTGACCATCCCCAGCAGTGCTGACCATCCCCAGCAGTGCTGACCATCCCCAGCATTGCTGACCATCCCCAGCAGTGTTGACCATCAGTACTGAGGATCCCCAGCATTGCTGACCATCAGTTCTGACCATTCCCAGCATTGCTGACCATCCCCAGCAGTGCTGGCAGTGAGGACACAGCTCCCTCCTTCCTGCTGGGACATCAGTGCCACCCCCCAGCCGGCAGGGATGGCCACTGCTCCCATTTCACTTCAGGGAAAGGCTCCCTGTGCCTCCCGTGCCACCCCCGGAGCTGGGGCAGGGCTGTGCTGGAGCAGAGGGGTCCATCCCCACCTGCAGGGCACCTGGGGGTCATCAAAGCTGGCCCTGGAGGATCCCTGTGGTGGCCAAATCTGGCCGTGGCCCCTGAGCTGAGCCTGCTGCTGGTGGGGGGAGGAAATTCTGCTTTTCATCTTTTCTTTTCCTCATCCTTTTGTTTGCGTCCAGATGGGAAGATACCAAAAGATTTCTAGAGACAGAAGGTCCGTAGTTCAGGTGAACAGATGGTATTCATGCCAAAAAAAAAAAAAAAAAAAAAAATCACACACACACAAAAAAATAATAACGAGAACAACACAACCAAATACCCCTCTTCTCCCTGCTCTTTCTTTCTGGGGTGGTGATGTGGGTACCCAGTGCCAGGCTCCTCCTGGGAGGCAGCGTGGCATTCCCAGTGGTCCCATGGTGGCTTTGGGGAGCATCACCTTCCTTCAGGAGCATCCCTTTCCTTGGGATTAATCCCTTTCCTTGGGAATCCTCCCCTTCCCTGGGATCCACCCCCTTCCCTGGCACAGCCAGGCTGGCTCTGGCTGTCCTGGCACCCAGCAGGGTCATGAGGGACTTTGCTGTGATGGACCTGGAGCTGCTCTGGTGTTTAAGGCCAAAAGTGACCCCGAGGTCCCCTCTGTCCCTCTCCATCCCCGTTACCCTGGGGTGAGACATTCCCGGGGGGCTGTGTCACTGTTGGCATCCCAGGAGCCACTTTTTGGGCTAAAAACGCCACACACGGATCTGGGGGTCGGGGGAAGGTGTGACCTGTGCCCGTGTGTCACCTGTGGGACCCCCGGAGGGGCTCTTGGCGCTGTGGGATGTCCCCAAGGTGAGCCTGGACTCCCCTCATCCTTTTCCTTGCCCAGTGCATCCCCAGTGCCCGGGTGGCTGCAGGGGCTGGGGGGGTCTCTGTGTCACCCCTGTGTCACCCCTTTGTCACCCCTGTGTCACCCCTGTGTCCCCGGGGGTGACCGGGCTCGGTGGGGCGGTGCCCGGGGGTCTCGGGGCCTCTCCCGTGCCCGAATCCCGGGATTTTCCTTCTCCCCCGGACACCCCTCTAGGTGTCACCCGCGCCCGCGGCTCGCGGAGCCGAGCGCCGGGACAGCCCCGCGCATTCCCGGCTCATTCCCGGCTCATTCCCGGCTCATTCCCGGCCCTTTCCCCATTCCCGGCTCATTCCCGGCTCATTCCCGGTTCATTCCCGGCCCTTTCCCCATTCCCGGCCCCTGCCCGGGCTGGGGGGCACCAACCGAGCCCCCCCTTGTGCTGCCCAAGGAGCTGCGAGGCACCGTGGATTTTTTCCCTACTTTATTTTTTCCTCTTTTTTTCCTTCTTTTTTTCTCTTTTTCTTTTTTTCCCCTTTTTTCTTTCTTTCTCCTTTTTTTTTCCTCTCCCTCTTTCCCGTTTTTTCCCTTTTCATCTTCTCCTTTTTTCTTCTTTTTTCTTTATTCCCCTTATTCGCCCTTTTTACTCTCGTCCTTTTTTATTTTTGCTTTATTTCCCTTATTTTCCTTTATTCCCTTTTTCCCTTCTTTCCTTTTTCCTTTTCTTTTTTTCTTTTGTCTTTTTTCTCTTTTTTTTTCTGTTTTCTTTTTTCTTTCTTTTTTCTTTTGTTTTTCTTTTTTCTTTTTTCTTTTTTTTTTCTTTTTTCTTTTTTCTCCCCATTGTCTTCTTTTTTTCCTTCTTTCCCTTTTCCCTCCATTTTCCTTTATTCCACTTTTCCCCCCCTTTCCTTTCCTTTTCTCCTTTTCCTTTCATCCATTTTTCTTCCCCCCTTCCCATTTTTTCCTTCTTACTTTTTTTCCTTTTCCCATTTTCCCCTCACTCTTTAATTTAACTCATTTTTGGAACAAGTTTACAGTTGCCATGGGGGTTTTATCACCTATTGCTGCTTTATTCCCAGCAAGGAGCAGGAAGGGCAGGACCGGCCAGAATTTGGGATTCTCACCCTCCACAGGGAATCTCTGCCTCCATCCAGGCTTTGGGATTTTGGGAATTATTGTCCCTCTTTTCCAGCCCCTGCTGTTCACTGATTTTTTGGGATGGCTCAGTGGCTGCTCCCCTTTTTTCCCATTCCTGCCCCTTTTCCTTCACCTTCTTCCTCTCCCTTTATTTTTTTTTTCCCCCAGCTCCTCGGGGTGTGATTATTTTTCTTTTTTAAGCTTTCCCAGAGGTACAAACACCCCCAAAATGCATCCCAAGGCCTCCAGATCCCCATGGAATCAGCCCAAATCCTCCTCATCCCTCCCAAACCCCTGAGGACCTCTCCAAAAATTCCCGATGCTCCTTGACCCCATCCCGGCTCCCAAAGAGCACTCCCTATATATTATATATATAAAAATAAATATATAAATATAAAGGAGGATTTTTTTTTTTTTTTTTTACCTTGAAACACAATGCACAGGTTTAGAAAATCCCAGTGGCTCCAGGTGATGCCTTTCCCTCCCCCCCCTTCCCTCCCCCCCCGGGAATTCCACGATTCCAAAGGGAAACGTGCCCAGTTTGATACTCAGGGGTGAATTTAATTCCTTTTTTTTTTACCCCCAGCCAGCCTGGCCACCTCTGCAGGGTCCCACCTGAGCCCAGGTACTGCGTGTCCCCTCCTGCCTCGCTGCCTCCTCCCTTCCCACCCCTCTGCTTCATTTTTGGTTGGAATTTTCCGGAATTCTGCGAGTTTTACCTCAAACGCTGCGGGAGGGAGGATCAAGGACCAAACACGTGGCAGAATTTGTGTCTGTATATATTGAGATATTCTGGCGTTCGGCCTACTAACACAATTTGTTCTTTTTTTTTTTTTTTTTTTTTTTCGGGGGGGGAGGGGGTTATTCTGTATTTTTGTGGTTTATTTCCTGTTTCTCTCCACCCTTGGGCCACTTCTGTGAGGGGGAGCCCTGGGCACCTCCCCGGACCTAAAGGCATTTTTCTGGTATCTCCCACTGAAGGAATTACTCACTTTCCCATGTTTGTTCTTTATTTTAATTCCTCCGTGATTTCTTTTCCCCAAACCTGGGGAAGGGGAGTCAAGAGCCCAGTGCTGGGAGGGAGGGGACAGGAGAGCAGCAGCCGAACCTGCATCAAACCAAAGGGTTTCTTTGCTTTGTTTACACCCCTGGCCAACCTCACGGCCCGCAGCATCTCCCTGGATCTAGGTTTTTGTCCTGGAAGCGTTGGGGAAGGTCGGGACACCCAGAGCCAGGGGCCGCGACAAATTGGGGACATCCCCCCGCCGGGGAGCGCCAGCCCTGCCACGACCTTTTCCTGTTTTGTTTTGTTGGGGTTTTTTTTGTTGTTTTTTTTTTTGTTGTTTTTTTTTTCTGTTTTATTCCCATCCTCCGGGTGGGAAGGTGATGCTGGCGAGGTGGGGTGAGGTCCGAGGGGGCGGATGTGTAAAAAGCGACCCCTCCCCTCCCTCGCTGCCTCCCCTCCCTGCCTCCCTCCCTCCTCGTGCTGTATAAAGGAAATCGCCTGGCTGTGTATTTGTACTCCGAGCTCCGTGTGTCTGCGTGGGCAGACGGTAAACCCTTGTACAGTAGGTCTAGCTGCATGTAATCTGTATGGACAATGGCATTATAAAATGCAATAAAAGAAATTACCTATCGTGCTGCTGGCCTGGTTTGCTTAAGGTTATTGGGGGGGAAAAAACCAAACTAAACAAAAAAAAAAAAAAAAAAAAAAAAAAAAAAAAAAAAAAAAAAAA